GGTAATTGCTCTCTCAGGTTTCTAAGGCAGAGCTCACAGTCAGTATGTGCTTTAGCACAACTTACATTCAAGTGACCCATACATCAATCCCTAATTAGAGAACAGGCAAGTTCAGATACTCTCTTGTTTCCCAACAGTGTTAACTCTTGCTGCACCTGCAGCTTTCAGTCTCTTTAGATTCACTTGTTGATGCTTGTAATTTAATGCTGAATCATTTTTTTTTCCCGGGATCGGTAGACAAAAATCCTGGTGAGTAATATATTTGGGGTGGATCAGAAGAAACTTTGAATTCACTGCTTTAAAGTGCAGGATTTTAGGAAGGATTGCATCTTGGGAATCTCTTGCTCACCCTTCCCTAAATTTGTATCATATACTAACTAGTATTCCCTAGATGAAAAGCAGATTTCAGGTAAGTGCAGGCAGGGAAACTTCACAGCAATGGGAATATCCTGCCTGTAAACAAAGCAATACACACTCACTTTCACTGAAACGCTCACTCTGTTACAATGCACTGGAACCACACAACAGGCAAAGCCTCATTTTCAGTTTTATATATTAAGATGAAATTATTTCCCATGTTGCTGTATTTTCTAACTACCTCTCTCAGGAATGAGTACATTTGACTACAGATGTAGCTCTTTCCTGAGAACTTCACTGCTGAACACCACTGTGCTAATCTCTGATGCTCACATGCAACAAGCAGTGGTGTATATAGCTTGTATGAGCTCTCTCTCTAGCTATATGGCAGCCAGAGATTTAAATTTAATAATTCACACTTCAGCCTCCTGTAGGGTAAAATTGTGTTATGAGCATGACCCAGGGCTTGCCCTATGGGTCATCAACAAAGTAAGATCAGAAGAGACATCCAACCAGCCATCTTCTAAACAAAGACAACCGACAAAATCTTATCAGTATTGCATTGTAAATCAGTGTTTACTAACAGTTCCAGAGAATTGCAAGGTTTAATTAAACAGTAAAGAAGCTGCTTCTGACAAGGAAAAGGAAGCAAGAAACAAAAAAAAGTTGCAGCCATCTTTATTGTCTGAGCTATCATTTTGACATCCAAAGAGCAGGCAGGGTATGCTCTGCGATGGCCCAAATACCCATATGTATAATGGTCCGATCTCTGCATATATTCATGCTTAAAATATCACACAGAACTATCAGGAGCATCAGCTTGCTGTAATATATATTTCTTTTCTTGTCACAAATGAGAAAGTTGTTCTCAGTACTTTCTAAACTGTTTCCTGTAAAAAAAAAATAGTTCAAGAAGAAGCTCAATCTATACAAAGATTGAAAAGCCACAGATAGTAGGTAATTATTAATAAGTTCCAATTAAATCAAAATATCAGCACAATTTCCAAGCAGGAATAAAGGTTGTTTTAATTGTAAATAAGATCTATATAATTATACAACAAACTACGAGAAACAGCAGATTGCACATGATGGGAAACATAAGGATGCAGCCAGTATATATCTGAAGCATAAAAATAATGATTCACGCATTGACTTACTGCTGCATTTAGAATCAAAAAGGAACAATGCCATGATGTGCGACTGTAGAAGTTTCTCTTACCACAGATTAATTAATCTGTTCTAAGACAGATTAATTCAAATTTAGTTCGAGAGTGTGTGCATTGGTAACAAAGATAACCGCACAAAATCTACAAATATATCATAGGGTTTCTAAATCAGTTTCATATTAAATCCAGGAAAAACATTTGTGAAAAAAGGACTGATCTGTCCTAAAAATGCTAACAAACAAGAAAAAGGACATACTGCAGAATTTCTAAGACATGTATTTTGCTGCCCTTATTCATTAACTACTCATTCAACACTGTTCAATGCTGTTCTGCAACAAGAGCAGTTCTCTTTCCCGCACAGTAAATGCAGCCTCCCCCTGCTCTCCCTGAACATGCAACTCTGCATCTATCACAGTAGCACACACTTGGAATAAACATTGCAGAAGGCTGGCCTGCTTTAACACTCCACAAATGATTAGGGCTACCTAAATTCTTGGTTTAGTTACCCCAAAACATACAAACCGTATTTTTTACAGTCTACGTACATATGTTCATAATGGATGCCTTTATTTTAAGGCAATGCAGATGATCGATACTATTCTGATTGCCTTTTTCCCCTCCTCCCCTGCCCCAACAGAATGATTTACTGCCTTTTTCCTCTCCTCCCCTGCCCCAACAGAATGATTTAATTCTAACGTTACATATATGTCATAACAGCAGAAGAGCTATACTAATGCGACTGTGCACGAGTCTTTTTATTCCATCCTCTTGTCTGTTTTCAGAGGTTTTCAAACACAGAAGTGATGGAACTCGTTGGTAAAACTGATTACACAACTTCCCCACTTACTATGTATAAACTCATTAACTTGCATTTGATTAAAACATACTCTTTAAAAAGACATCTAATCCTAATTGGAAAGGATGAAGATAAGGAATTCAACATCTTCCCGACAGTTTGTGCCAACAGCTAACTACCCTCACTGATGAGAACAGCATGTCCTAGAACTTACAGATTTGGCTCTTGTTACTTTGATGGCAGTTTTTTTAATGAACTTAAGAAATTGATCTAAGCCTATCACGGTAAGATATTTTCTCCATCTGTCACTGATATCTGCTATATCTCTTCTGTACTAGTTAATTGAATATAATATCCAGCTCTGTTTTATAAAAGGATCTCAAAATACTATCACTTTCATGAAGAAGATTCCCCTCTCCTCTTCATTTTAAACTGATTAAAGCACTTGCAGGTATTATACACATAATTGCCAGTTTATCATTGCACTTGACATTTATCTAGTAAGTTTTTGTCATAATTAGTTTTCTAGAAATTTAGAGGTTTTAGAGGTGTGGCTTGCAATATCTACCCTTGATATGAGAACCACCTAACTATTCCAAAATGCACTTGAAAAAAAACGCATTATATGGCAACGCAGATCAAGTTCTATGACCACTCTGTCCTCTTTGCTAACGATCTGCCACACAATCCAAACATCACAAACAGAACTCCTCATGAAGAGTTTCACAGTTGCTCCAAAGTTAAGTACAAAAATACTTATAATCTTCAGGCTTCTAACTATTTCCTCTCTCCAGAATGAAGCATCATTAAGTATCATAAAGACAAATGCCCTTTTGGAAAGAATCCACATGCATTTAACTTTTCTGACCAAGTTTCTCAGAGGTATTATTATTTTTATTGTTAAAAAAGAGAAACATGTAAAAAAAAATTTCATACTGGCCAATAATATTTTAACACTGATGTTTTAAAGAGGTAAGACGAAAGATTATCTTTTCCTACAAATCTTTCTTTTCCTCCAATCTGGCCTTTCTGTTTCCCTCTGTGGCATCAACTTCCCTTCAATTTTTTCTTCCAATTTACTCTGTCTTTATAGGCTATTAAGCTAAAGGTTAAGAATGAGAAAGTCTGAGAGGCAAAAAGAAATCCTGACCCAACAGCAGGTTGAGTCTTTGGAATGAGTTATGGTCAGCCATAAGGCAATGACACATGGGACAACAGTGCTAAGACAGTCCAAATCCACTATTAACAATGAAAAACGAATATAACTTCTTCTTGGAAATAGGGTATGAAAACGACTAAGGACAAAAGAAGCAGGCAATTCAAACAGCTTCATCTAATGCCTGATAGAATATCTACTGCAACAATTTTGATAGCAGTACCCACAAATAATTTTCAGACTGAAGAGAAACAGGAATATTAAAAAGGTGGTTTGTACCTGTGAAATGTTTCACACCAGCAAAGACATTGTATAAGAAATTGGCTTCGCATTTCTTTCTCAAAGTACTAAAGTAAATCCTGAATCAAACATTGTACTGAGGTATATCACCCAAATCAAATTTGGAAATAACAGAATGACATGAACATAAAACAAAGGAAGATAAGTACTACTTTGTATAACAGGTAGCATATAAACATAAATTAGGTAAACTGCATTTAATTCTAAGGAATCTACAACCTCATCCCAAATAGTGGAAGAATTAATGTGAAAGCTAAAGAATCTGCAATTCTTCCTGATGCAAACGTTTTTACACATATGAAAGAAGTTAATTTTTATATATATCGTCCCATTATATGTCCTTAGTATTATTTTTGAATCAGGATTTGTGTAAATATCAGGAACATTTTCCTGAGGCAATATCTCCCTCTTTATATGTATTTATGAAAAAAAGTAAAATAAAAGCTGTTTCAAACGTATGATACATGGACCAATAAACAAGATTTAATATTAAATAAATATTAAATAGTACATACTGCACCAACATATAACATTTTATGCTCAGAAATTATTAGCATACCACTTCAACAGGATCTTTCCCCTTCGACCTGGCAATAGTCAAACATTTAAGTTTCTTCTCAACTCACTATATATAGCATTTATACAGTTCTATATATATAGCATAACAGTCCTGAGATATAGTCGCTTATATAAACAAATTCAAAGTTTTTAAACATTTTCTTAACATTTAGATCAGGAAGCGAAGAATGTGAATCAGTCCATTCTTACACTGACTTAAAATTTCCAGTTCGTATGTTCGTGTTAAAAACTACTTTGCAAATGCTTCTTAAAGCAAACCCCGTAGGCTAAACAGTAAGCAAAAGCAGTGCTGCAACAAGCAGTCGCAGTGCTTAGCAAAAATCTCACTTCTAAAAGGATTCTAGTGTTTGTTACTGGCAAAGTAGTGCCTGAAAAATATACAGGGAGGGATTCTTGCTAGAACTATCAATCCCTGTGTCACAGGAAAAAGTGCTTTAGAAATTAAAGAAACATGACAACTTAAAAACGACACAGTTTGCCACTTAAATATCTTCAGCTGAACTTCCAGCTCCTTCATACTGTACAAATCTCAGGAAAATTACTTCTCTTAGATCTCTCTTGACAGCATGGTAAGATTAACCAAATGCCCAGCGTCTCCCATAGACCAATAAAATCCTCTCCAGGTGCAAGAGAAAGCTTCACGTACCATTGACACATTCAAAGACATCACAGCACTTGCCAGGTGTTCCATCTCCACGCGAGACTATCTGAGGAATGGAGCCTGCCTCGCACATAGGGAAACCACATAAACCAGAGAGACACTCGCATCTGAAACCAAAGAACAGTAAGGAAAAGCCCGTAAATAAATGAAGCCATGTATAAGGGGAAAGAATAAGCAAAAGGAAAATGGAAAGCTAGAGCACAAGTTCCAGTGGTATCATATTCATATCTTAGAATCATATTTTTATTCACCCAACAACCGAGAGAGCTCATCAACCTGAGGTGATTCTTTACCCATCTGACCTCTGTTTGCTGGTCAAGCAAGCAAGAGGGTGGTAAAACACCCGCGCTTCTCTAGTGCTGAACGTAAAAACGTAGAAAACTAGTTCCAGATTATTTGAAAATAATTGGATTCTCCAGACTTGCAATTCTCCAGTTCTCCCTGAAAAATCAAAACTGGTCACACACTAATAGCAGTAACTGCACTCATTCATCAGAAGAGTGTTCTCCTTAGGAAACTGTACTATACCCAGTTTCTATACAGGAAATAATTAAAGAGAAAGGAAGACCATGCAGAATCATTAAATCTAAGCCACATGAAAATAATCACAGGTTCTCTTTCGGTGTGACGGTGTTGCCCTCAGCTTGTGGAGGGGCAACCAATTACATGAGAGGTATATTAAACACTGTGGTTAATTTTAGAGATTGTATCATTCTAAAAAGAATGTTTTCTCCATGCAAGTAGTACTTATTTCCTTATTTAAGAAAACAGCCTAAAGAACGAGAAGACATAAGTTGCAGATAAATAGTTATGAAGGTTTCCATATTCTTTGCTTTATGATTAACATAATACTTTAAAAGGCAAACACATAAGACTTCAGATAATTTTACATTTAACAGAGTTCTTGCACCAAACAATGGGCACATTACATAGATATGAAGCAATAATTCAATAAAATGCAAGACCTTATGAACAGAGAAATATACAAATATAATGGCTGAGAAACTTCATTGAACAGCACTTAAATTTTTCAATTGCAAATCTGATTTTTTTTTTGGTAAAAAATACTTGTTTATTAATTTAGCATACTACAAATATATATGAATTTCAGATAAAAAAAGAGAACTCAGTAGAAGATCCTGTAATTACAAGTGAAAGGAATGAAAATAAGAAATCTAGTTGTTAATTATTTCAAATATTCTAAGTATTCCGAGACAACCACCACATTATATCACATAGTAACAAGCATCATCAGCACTTAACGCATTTGCTTATTCTTTATGCTTAAAAAGCAAGAAGTTTGCTTTTCCTCTACTATGCATGTCTTCTTAATTGCCCAATAGCCATTTCATCTCAGATCAGCTTTCAATAAATGAGGAAAAGTCATCTCTCAGAGAGGATTTTAGTATCTCTCCCTTTAAGTTCATCAGTGTCATATTCTTCACTGTCAGGTATTAGAAGTCTGCATGAAGAAATGCAAGTAAAGGAATCTCATAGAACCTTTCTTATACTATCTTAAAATAATTCTTAAAATATTGCATTATAGCAGCATGCTACTATAAAGGGATAAATAAGTTCCTAAAGCCCAGTATTAACTATATAACTTTTCACAAATAATGTTAAAATGTCAAGATAAACTGAACCATTTAACTCTATCTGCACATATACTACAGTATAGTGATAGTTTTAAAACGAGCATTTCAAGTGTTTTTTAAATATTCTGCTTACCATAACAGTAAAGCATAATGAACCAAATGAACAAAAAATTAGGAGTACAGAGACCAAAGTTTAATTTATCATACCTTTCCTTTTGACATTTTCTTCTCAACTTATTTGTAAATACAGAAAAGAGGCAATCTATTTTCTTTACTGCATGCCCTTTGCCTTCAGAGACACAGGTGGAAAAAAAAGCATTACAGGTTCAACTACATGGGATAAAAAAAACCTCAAAGAATTTGTGTCAGATTCCCTTTGGGATGATTGTATGTAATCTTACAGAATTCTATATTAACATCTTGACTTTTGCAGCCTCATTTAAAAAATGGGGGAAGGGAGATGAAGAAAAAAAAAACCTCAAGTACAGGAATTTGCACCTTAACCCATCTAGCAGACATTGCTTTGGAAGATGCTTTTCTCTTGTGAGAACAAAAACCTGAGATAAGCACCTACATGTTACTAAAGAAGGAAAAAAAATCTTGTAAAACATATAAAACAAAAGAAAAGTACAGACACAACCTGAAAGCTGTATTAAAAGCCTAGATTAAAATACTAGGTTTTACTTCAATCACTCTATATTCAATACACAGACAAAATAAGTAATATATATAATACATATATATATATACATATATATATATATACAATACAGGCAAAATAAGTAGATCAAACTTTTTAAAATTCTCATGTTTTCAGGGAGAAAATGGCACACATGATGGAAATATAGCTGTTTCCAAGTCTCATGAGCTGAAATCACAGCTCAGTGCTGTCACTGTAATCTTTTTCAGAGATACCTCCGTCTTCTCTAGTTTTTGCCTCACATTCATTATAACTGACAATTTGAGTTGCAGGAGATTATTAAATGATTAGATTAAGAACTTGTACTTCTCCTCACTCATTTTCTTCCCAGTCAACTGCCTTAAAAAATCAACAAAACAAACACACAAAAACCCCACAAACCCACAAACAAAATAATAACAGCAAAAAGATTCACCAGACTAAGTAATTTAAGACAAAACAATCTTCTAGAAGGACTGAAAAAGATGTTTAGAAGACTGATAGGAGTCAATGTTCCTTTCTGCCGAGGAGACTCCCTCCCATTTAGAGTAATCAGAGTATTGCACACTCATTGACAGTGCAAGCAAACAAAACCCCATCATCCAAAATTTTATAAATTGACTTCCCATTTAGTAAATAAATAATCCAAGCAAAGGAGAAGGTCAAAGCAGCAAATGGTCTCAGATGGACTTTTAAATAGTCTGCATTCTTTCCAGCCAGCTCTGCTAGGAAAACCTTTGACGATCATCCAGGTTATTAGCATGGAAAACATTGTTTTGGAGACAGAAGTCTTTCAGGAAGAAATCCAAGGAATTCTGGTAGCCGAGCACAGCTGTCATACTGCCAAAACAACAACATCTGGAAATTCAGATTAAGTGATCCCGTTCCCAGTAACAAAGCAAAATGAGTTTAAGAGTACTAGATTTTTCTTAAGTGCCTTTCTGAGCAGAGGGACAGACAGAAGAGAAGTGGTCATCCAGCTCTGCACTCTGTCACAAGCAGCTGTCCACCTGCAGGGTATACGTATCTTAGCCTTGGCATCAAGCTTTAGTTTTCAAGGCCAGACTGTGATAAGCCTGTTGATAGTGGCCATGGTTCCTCTCAAAGTAATTTCTATAAAGTTTAGCTGTTCTGACAGTTGATCGGTAAGGCACAGCGTTGCTTCTGAGCTGCTCCCTCTATAACTGTACCTTGCCTAAAGAAATCTGACACAGCAGAAGTTATTACAAGGAAACCTTTCCGGAGAGAAGACAGCTTTATACATCACCTTCTCTCTTCATGCAACCTGCAGTGACACCACTGCAACATCAAATAGCACAGCAGCATCCAAAAGTTCCAAGATCAAAGGGAGGTCAGTACTTAAGGTACACTGTCACTCAGTGGCTGCTCTTCACACACCTTATTAGCTAAGGCGCTAAGGAAATACACCTCTTGGGATGTTACATCATCACAGCACTCAAGTCAACTTAAGAAGGACACGATCTCTTATCAAGGAATAACAGTCCTGTAAGGGAGTACATTGTCCCCTAATAGGAGGGCCCAGAAAGAAAACAAAAGGAGACTCAAACAGTCATGCAAGAGACTTCATGGAGTACAGCCTGAAAAGATGGTGAGATGGCCTTGAAGGAATCCCAAGCAAGACATCAGGTGTATTGTAATTTTGAAAATAAAGAACCAAAGTGACAGGCAAAAGGAATTGTTTCTTGTTCTTAAGGTTAAAAAATGCAAAAAAAAAAAAAAAGTAATAACAGCAATAATCCTAGAAATTTCAACAACTGAGCAAGGAAAACTTCAATATATAAAGAACCAGAAACAAGACTATGTTCACTAACTAATGCTTTACAGATTGAGAAAGGTAACTGTTTCTATAATATAAATGGCATGGCTTTAATTTTCGTTTCTTTTCTTTTTTTCTTAACTTCTTCAAACCAGAAATAATTTCATTACTTGTTTCTTTTATGTTTGAGGGAGATTTTTTGTTTGGTTGGTTTTTTTTATCTAATAATCTGTCTTTTTCCTTTGTGTCACCAACAGTAGGAAAAGAAAAAGGAAGAAAAAAATAATCAAACTGAACACTTGTAAATGATAATTTTCGTTTAAAATCTAATTATCTTGGTTCATTTACTTCTGTTATTAAACAGATGAAAAGAGAAGGGCTTGGTTAGCCTCGGAAAAGATGTTTTGATGATAGGATCAAAAGAGTTCTCCAGGCACAAAAGCCTAATGGCTATGAAAATTAGAATGGGCACCCCGGAAAAAAAAAGATTTAGTAACAGTGAATGGGAAGGTTGGGCCAGGGATGTGTTGAGGAGAGGGATATTTATTTTGAGGATCAAAACAAAATTAAGTCTAAAGTACTGAGACTAGAGAAAAACATCCCACAGGAATGTGATGTATGTTTCCGGAGATTTTATCATGGTCCTTTTTTTTTTTTCTTGCAGGAATCTAATACAATTTGCATTAACATTATTAGCACTTGTATTATCTAAATGTAGTAGAGGAAACTCCCACACATCCGTTAATAACAAAAGCACTTAAGGATACTATAATATAAGGAACTTTCAAAAGAGAAGTCTCAGTATTGTCAAAGCTTGATCAACTAGTGACAGATTAAAGAGATTAAATGGAAGACCCTATCATCAAGCACAGTGTCTAATGAGCTGACAATATAGTAAAATGAAATATTAACATAACAATGTCATCCCCATGCGTTGCCTGATCTAGTTGAGAGATGTCCCTGCCCATGACAGGGAGGTTGGATTAAATGATCTCTAAGGTCCCTTCCAGCCTAGGCCGTTCTATGATTCTATGAAATCAGCAAAGGATTATGGCC